CATCATCATAGTCCGTATCAGCTTGTTTGACACCTGAGAGGTCAGAATAGAAGTTTACTGCACAGATTACCGGTTGTGTTGAAACATACTTGTTTGCATTTGATTCTGTCAGATTTTAGACTCAAAAAGGTGAGATTTCGCTCATGTAAGAAAGACTGACAGCCTATAAGTTTAATATTGACCAATATTCTGGATTCACTAGACTGCTCTTAATATAAAAGTGTATGATAGACATTGTGAGAAAGTTTCTTTTTAAGAGTCTCTGTAGTATTTATAGAGTCCAATGGAACCTACTGCACAAGCAAAAATCTGAAAAGATCTCTACCTCTGAAAAGATCACTTTGTGCATTTAAAGGGTTAGTTCACCCAAAAATGAAAATTATGTCATTAATTACTCACCCTCGTGTTGTTCCAAACCCATAAGACCTTTGTTCATCTTCGGAACACAATTTAAGATATTTTTGATGAAATCTGAGGGCTCTCTGACCCCCCCATAGACAGCAAGGTAACTACCACGTTCAAGGTCAGAAAAGTACCAAGATGATCGACAAAGCAGTCCGTGTGACATCAGTGGTTCAACTGTAAAGTTACGAAGCTACGAGAATATTTTTTTTGCGCAAAGAAAACAAAAATAACGACTTTATTGCACATTTTCGTTTCGTCATGACGTCATTACGCCGGATCTGGGTCAGCGCTGTGCCGCCACACGCTCGCGTCATGATACTGTCGTGAACGCGCGTCCACAAGTGACGCAGTAGAGACGAAAATGTGGAATAAAGTCGTTATTTTTGCTTTCTTTGCGAGGGTAAGTTATTAATGACAGAATTTTCATTTTTGGGTGAACTAACCCTTTAAATTTAGAGAAATGCTGTGCACCCAAAGGAAAATGAATTATAAACCTAAATCTACAAAAGGTGAGACAAAACTAGACACAATGATGTATCTTGGTTTAATATCCTACAGACCAATCAAATATTAGCCTGTACAGTAATCATTTTAGTGATTAAAAACTTTTAGTACTACATAATCTATATTTCAGGTTTAAGTATGAGATAATTTATTTCAGTAAATTTGAGATGGACAAACCTGTTTTATTCTTGCAGCAACAGTAAAGAATCACACCAGCAAACACTATCACTCCCACCACAACACACACAATAAAGAGCACAAACATGTGAGATGAACCACAGGAGATTGGGATTGGCCTTTCATTCTCTGGAAAGTAATAAGAAGAACTGTAAAAATCAGTCTATTCATAGTAAGTTTACAGTCTGTTAACTATCATTATAAATCATCAGAAAATGCAGCTTGTAATGCAGCTTGTAAAACAAAAACAGAGATTTGATTTGTGAGATAAAGACTAGTTATCAATGTTGAAACAGACATGTACCTTCACAGAGCTGTGTGATGTTTATTCTGTCTTGTTTCCAGCTGACAGGGTTGCTATGGTTACAGAAGATGGATTCCTCACTGCAGTCCAGGATGAGATTGTGGATCTCATGTGATGTCACTTCCTCTGGAGAGCATCTGTTGTTCTGATAGCTAGAGTAAATCGTGAGCTCATGAGCTCTGCATGTGAAGTTCACAGTACAGGAGTCACTGCTGAACCAGTTTGAGTTCACAGTCAGAACAGGAGCTTCCACAGCATCTGAAACAAATTTCAGCAAAGATCACAATCCCATTTTTTTTTCTTTCTAGTAGCAGATAGATCCTGAATTAAAGACAATGTGCCAAAAGCTGGTCTAAATGTGCACATATGTAAAACTGAAAAATGTTCATAAACTGCACTTATGAATGATCTTTTATGCAGGAACACATTCAATCACACAAAGAAATTAGACTCACCTATAACAGATACTCTGTGTGTGACAAAATCTTTGTTTATTAATCCACTTATTCTTGCTGTGTAGAGTCCGCTGTCTGTCTTCTGCATGTTCTTCAGTGTCAGAGAGAAGGTTGTATCATTGAAATCCACTCTGTCCTTGTAGGAATTGTGAAGTTTTACTATTTTGGAATCACTGTTATATCTAACTATACTCTCTACTTTATCATTCATCCAGGACAAAAGATCAAACTCTGGTAGTTGTTGTGTCTGTATATCCAGTTGAACAGACGCTCCCGTCTGCACAAACACCGAGATCTCAGCACTGAACCCTGAGGAGAGAGAAACACACAGTTCAGAACATTTTACACCTCCATCTTATGTCATAAAACTCTATACACTATACAAACTATAAACACCATTTGGAAAAAGTAAACAAATCATAGGGGTTCTTAAGTAATGATACAAGCATTTTTCCTCTTAATAGCCCAGGTGATATGTGAAAATAATGTTCACTTTTTCATAAAAGCATGAAACTTGGTGCACTTGTATAGTTTGCGGCCCTACACATTTTCAAAAATGGAACCATCGCAAAAACACCTTGTGGTGGCCATGGCGATGGTTTTAACCAAATTATGTCTTTTGTATCATATCTCCTGAACATGATAAGACAGAAAAGGTGATGTCTAAACCTACGTTTTGATGGTCAGTGATTGCAATGATACCATATAGCTACAACAACATAAACTGTTCAGGTGAACAGCTAGTGGTGAAATCAGCAATGTGAGAAGGAAATCACAGTATCACATATTTACAATAGTCCATATTATGGCTATTCATTTTTTCTTTGTTTGGTAACTAATATTTTATTCAATAATGCAATAAAAGATTGTTTTCAAGAATACAATCATAAATTTCAGAGATATAAAAAAATCTCAAGGAAGTGTATTTTTCCTTACCTCTCAGGCAGAGTCAGGTAGGCTGTAACGTTAGTATGTTTCCAATGCATTCTTGTTCTCTTTCAACAATGCTCTAACATGCTGTGATAACATACTCTGATTCTTCTCACATTGCTGATTTCAACCATTCACTGTTTACCTGAACAGTTTTGCTGTTTTATATATCGTATCATTGTAATCCTTAACCCAAATGCTTTTTCCAAATATAGCACAAATTAAATTATAAATAAATCACTAGAACATGACACAACATAATAGAAATTTCAATGATTGCATACACATTTATTAATTTATTACCTGTGTTAGAGATAAGGAAAAGGATGAAGGCTGCAACCAGATGATCGACTGCCATCGTAGCAAACATCAAGATGGCTGATGCTGTATTCTTAAAACAGGAAGTTGAATATGTGTGCAATGACACAGAGGAGCCTCTTTATAACTCTTCCACCACAAAGAGCTCAGTTCAACATTTGTTTAATAACAGTAAGAAGAGGAGAATCACTGTTTTACTCTGTCCCTCGACAAACCTCTTTATATGTGAGCCAGACAGTATATACTATAAACTTCTATTGGTTTATAGGAAGCAAATCCTTATTACTAAATACCAAATATATATTTTAAATAGTTTTTTTTTTTTTCAAATTAGGACGTTCTCAAACATCTCAAAATCATATTTTTAAAAAGTGTATTAAGTTTATTTATCAATTTTGTCAATTCTGTGACAGCGGGAACCTGTGCTGGACTCTTTCCACTTCATCCTTGGCCTCAACCTTATGCCAACCTAGTGCCATATCTCAACTCCCTGCATGCCAAATTATTACCCTTCATGTTGAAGCCACTATCTGATTGCCTAATCCTAACTCCACCCCACATTTAACCATCCATTCAAATAACCATACTGGAGAATGAGTGGAGTCATAATCTGGCAGGCAGTCATTTTTCCACATGGCACCACACCATAAAAACCATAGATACTGAGGCTGATGATACACAGGGCAACTTTGGACAATGCTGCCATCAACGGGTAACCAGGTGAGACACAGGGCTCACGACCAATCCAGATAGAAATTTGTTACGCATTCTCAATGGGAAAGTGCCCAAGCAACAATGTTTAAAAAACGTTGCCCCATGTATCATCAGCATGAGGGAATAATCTACTCAACTCTGGCAACAAACAGCATCACATCCAGTTGAATAAATCAGTGGAAGGAGTTACGTTAAACCAAACTCATTTTAAAAACTTTCCTTATAAAGTGAGATTATAGAATTAAAGAAATGCATAAGACTATTATTTGTTTGAAAAAAAAATGTTTGTAGTTTATTAAACCAAACTCATTTTAAAAACTTTCCTTATAAAGTGAGATTATAGAATTAAAGAAATGCATAAGACTATTATTTGTTTGAAAAAAAAAAATGTTTGTAGTTTGTTTTCTTTTTGACATCAGACACAAATATACAGGACATGCACAATCATAACTGAAAGTCACTAAAAAGAGGAAAGTTATTTAAAACAGAAAATGCACTACATCTTTCCGAAACGTGTATCGCATTTTTTTAAGTGCATCAATTTTTTTTTTAATTGAATGCTTGAGAAAAACAATAACAATTGTCAAATCATAACAATACAACAGAGGAAGTCCAGAGGAAGTGCCAAGTCCTTTAGCAAAGCCATTGTTCTTATTGCTTTTAAGTTTGTAGAGAACTCAATAGATTCATAATACATTTGAAATACTCAAATTTCAAGTTTGAATCTTAAAAAAAAAAAAGAGGCTTGCATTTAGAAAATTTACATTTATGAATATGGTATTTAGCTAACAGGAAAATAAGATTTATGAAATAAATATCACCTTTTTTTTAATATTCATGAAGGCCAAAAATTTAATTTCTATAAGTAAACTCAAAATTAGGATTCACATAGCATTTGATAAAATCAAGAATGTCACACCAAAAATGATGTTGTGTAAGTGCGTCAGAAAGTTAAAAGACGAAGAAACAAGGCGCCGTCAACATTTCGCCTCAAAAAGGACCCCAATGTGAAGCCCAATATTATGCCTGCTATAAAGTATACGAATATTTGTGAATACTTATGAATTGCGTATTTTCTCAATGTAAATTAAAAAATCCATATTGCTTCATCTTAAGTATTATCATATAATTGATTTGAGAGACACAAATATTGCAAACAGTGTAAACTGCCTATTTACGCGACGCGGCGCAGTCAGGACCTGAAAACAAAACATGGGATCGAAGAAGCGTCGTAGGAGCCGATCGCGGTCCCGACCTTCAGAAAGATCCAGTAGACATGTCCGCTCGCGCTCGCCGGAGGACAGACACGGTCGGAACCG